TAACCCTCATCCCTTTAGCTACACAGAGTTCAAGATATGGCTAATCATTACTCTTGCTATTTTGGCTCCTAGTTGGCACCATGCGGCGTCAGACCCGTGGATGGTGAGACAGTGAAGTGTAAGTCCCCACCAATGTGCTGGAATGGCCGCAAATGCCTGAGCCACCTCTGCTCTTCCTGATGTTGTTGCATACTCCTTGCCATGCGCAAACACATTTCCCTTTGAGTTTGTTCTTATCTATATCCTCCCTAACTCCAAATGCGAAGCTCTGGATTTGTTTTCTGAAAAACCCTGCCTCCTTTGCAGGTGTATCCAGTTAAAATACTAGTGTGGGAAGAGACTGGACAAAAATCATACACTTATGGACGAGGACGGGGACGGGTGGTAAGGGCATGGAGTGGGGTGGGAACCGGGTGTAGGGGAGCTATGGGGGTGGGGTAGAAGAGGAACAACTGTAATAATTTGAACAATAAAGATTTATTTTAAAAATATAAAAATAAAAAGATTTTATTTTTAAATAAAAAAAAGAATGAAAAGCCATAAGCTTTGTAGCCACTTCATACTTTGCTTCAGATTCTGGTTTTGTCACTTACTAGCGCTGTTACCTTAGATGAGTTACTTAACTTCTCCAAGCTTCATTTGTCAAACAGGATGAATAAGTCTACCTATGCACTCAAGTTACAATTGTGATAAAACTTTAATGTGTTTCAGGAAAATCATAATGACCCTCAGTTATTTTTCTGTGCTGTTACATAGCAGCTCTCCAGTTGTCTTCCTACCTCTCAGAGCTATCAGCTTTCTAGTTTTGTTAGGAAGGCGCCTAAACTTTGAATTCTTCAACATTCAAGAGTGCCATGTGTTTAGAAAATAGAAGAATGTGAGTGTATTTTGTGTGTTTTTTTTAGTTTCCTGGTGGGAGACGAATTGTTTGTAGTGATGGAGTACCTTGCTGGGGGATCACTTACTGATGTTGTAACAGAAACCTGCATGGATGAGGCTCAGATTGCTGCTGTGTGCAGAGAGGTGAGTTTGCTGCCATTTTGATAAGTTATGGTGATGTGTGGTTAGCAGGAGATGAAAAAAGGGAAAGTTTTTTCACACAGGTAAATTTTATTGAGTGTAATCCTTTCTCTGTACACATGCTCTACATGTTTTTTTCCATACCATTTCATTCTACGTGAGAGTTTCAGCCCTTTCCTTCATGTGTAAGATAATTCTGCAACGAAGCATGGACCTTTGAAGAGTGAAACTCACAGTTGAATTTCAGTGGGATCATCATTATAACTCATTATCCAAACAGGGTGCTTTTGAGACATGTATGTCATTAAAAATACACTACTCACCCTGGCCAAGTGTGGCTCAGTTGGTTGGAGGAGCCCATGCACTGTATGGTGGCAGGTTCCATTCCTGGTCAGGGTACATACCCATATTTCTGGTTTGATCCCCAGTCCGGGTATGTATGGGAGGTGGCCTGTCAATGGTTCTCTCTCAAATCAATGTTTCTCTCTTTAAAAAAATCAATTTTAAAAAAATACACCACTCAACAGAAGACAAACCCTCCTTTGTGCAAAGCAGTACATATGTTCACCTTAAGTGTTAATACATCTGCTTCTGGCTTTATTAATCTTATTGAAAGTAAAGAAACTGGTTGTTGCTTGATATTTATTAATGAACAAGAGGCCCAATGCATGAATATTCATGTAAAAGTAGACCTTCCTTGCCCCGGTTGCTGGCACCAGCTTTTTTCCATCCGCCAGCAGGCACCTGGGACCCGGGCTTCCCTCGCAGCCCTTGATTTTTGGAAGGATGTCTGGTCTAATTAGCATATTACACTTTTATTATTATAGAAGATTACTAGACCTACTGTCTGATTTTAAATCGTAAGTTCTGCCAAATTGCCTAAGTTAACTCAAAACAGGAGCCTTCCTTCTTCCAGCTAACCTTTCCTACAGATGAGACTTAGGTTAATGATTTGCTTATTGTCACTGAAATGTGATACTACTTTTGAATATCATAGGAATCATTATTTCAGTGGACAAAATTGTAAAAGTTCTTAAGACTATTGTGTTTTGAAGGGTTTTTTGATGCTCACCCAAGGATACATTTTACTGATTATTTAGAGAGAGGGGAAGGGAGGGAGGGAGAGAGAGAGAGGAGAGAGAGAGAGAGAGAGAGAGAGAGAGAGAGAGAGAGAAACATAGATGTGCCAGAGAAACATCGATAGGTTGCCTGATGTATGCATATCCCAACCTATGCACACCCCAACAGGGGATCAAACCTATAACCTAGGTATGCGCCCTGGCCAGGAATCAAACCCACACTCCAACCAATCGAGCCACACCAGCTAGGGCTTCTTTGAAAATTTTAATTGTTCTCCATGTAAGGGGCAGGGGGGGTAGCTTCTTTGGTTGTTTAGTAGGGAAGGAAGTAAGAATTTTTTAATGAATATAATAGTTTAATAGCATATCTCTAAACAAAAAAATGTTATACAAAAGCTGATAAAAACTTAAGAATTTATACTTAATTTTTTCCTAATAGTTTTTCTTAATTGATATACTATAAAAGTTATTTTAGGAGTTCCTTTAATTGTGACAAGTTTATTTCTATTTGTACAAGTATTTTTCTGGAAATTTCTTATTTTCAGGAATCTTCTTAAATGCTTGGTAAATGTAGTGTGATAATACACATAGTTTATCTATTTTTTCCTTGAATGAATAGTACAAGATTTTCACCCTGACTGGTGTAGTTCAGTTGGTTAGAGTGTCGTCCCATACACTGAAAAGTTGGGGGTTCAATTTTCAGTCAGGGCACATTCCTAGATTATGGGTTTGATCCCTGGTCGGGGCACCTGTGTAAGGCAACTCATTGATGTCTTTGTCTCTCTCTCTCACTCACACACACACACACACACACACTCTCTCTCTCTCGCTCTCTCTCTCTCTTTCACATCAATGTTTCTCCCTCCCCCGCCAAAAAAAATCAATTAAAATTATTTATTTATTTATTTATTTATTTATTTTAAAGTATATTTTTATTGATTTCAGAAAGGAAGGGAGAGGGAGAGAGAGATAGAAGCATCAGTAATGAGAAAGAATCATTTATCAGCTGCCGCCTGCACTCCCTCTACTGGGGATTGAGCCTATAATCCGGGCATATGCCCTGACAGGGAATTGAACAGGTGACCTCCTGGTGCATAGGATGATGCTCAACCAACTAGGCCACATTGACTGGACTCTAATCTCATTCTTGTATTTAAGGAAGCAGGAAGAAATTTTTCCTCGCTTTGGACTCATTCTGCTTTCTGAAACATTAGCAGAAGAAGAAAGTTATTCCTTTATCATTGGTGTCTAGGTTGTGGATATTAGCTTTATGTAAAATTCACCATAGAAGAAATGAAGAAAACATCTTACATCATATTGATGAACAGCTAAATGGAACCATACCAGCCATAATCTTACCCACTTTTCATGGCATATTGATTAGACTTGAGTATTTGAGATTTATGTGGGAATAATCACAATTTTATCCTTTACTATTGAAGTGATTTCTAAAGAGCCTTGTGCATGTTTGCAGGTGCTGTATACCTTTAAGCACTTAAACCTTGAAAAGGCCGAGAAATGATATAGACTCACCTATCTATATATATAAAAAGCCAGCTACCCTAACAGCCATAACGACCCTAACAACTTGTCACTATGACGCTCACTGTGGCCAGCAAACCAGTCCGATCAGGGGGTGAGGCCAGCCGGCCAACCTCCTGGCCTCTCCCCACTGCCGCCCGCCCCTGATTGGATTCTCCCATCCCAATCAAGAGCGGACTGCCAGCCAAACGTCCCTCCCTTCCCCCAGCCAGCCCCAGCCCCGATCAGCCCACCCCACCACCATAGTCCCACAGCCCATCCCCTCGGCCGGCCACCCTGATTGCACCCCCCCACCCCAATAGGGTGGGGGACTGGGCAGCCAACCTCCTTCAGCCCCTCCCCTGGCTGGCCACGCCCTTGATGGCCCACCACCCTGATCGGCTTGTAGCCCCTCCCCCCAGGCAGCCCCACCCCTGATTGCCCTCCCACCCTAATAGGGGGTGGGGCCAGCTGGTCAACCTCCTTCAGCCCCCTCCCCCTGCCAGGGCCAGCCAGCCAACCACCCATGGCCCCTTCCCCAGGCCACTGCCCCCCCCTCCATCGGCACCTCCCACGCCATTCAGGGGTGATGCCCACCAGCCAGTCACCTGCAGCCCCTTTCCCCAACACCCGGCCCTGATTGGGCCTGATCGGGGTGGGCCGGCTGGCCAGCCTCCCACCATCTCCTCCTTATAGCCTGATCTGACCAGACCCCACCCATGCACGAATTTGTGCACTAGGCCTCTGGTCATTTTATAAATGAAAATACTGAATACAGAATGATAGGACTAGATAAGACATCATTTAATAATTGTTTCTGGGTAAGACCAGTGCGTGGGAGATAATGGATCTAATTAATTGTCTTATTTTTATAACTTTGCACATAAAAGGATGTTTTTTCTTTATAAACATAAGTATTGCAGTGTCTTCTGCTGGATACTAGAAGCAATGTCCAGGCCTGTACTGTATGTAAACCTTCCTTAGACCTTTCAGAGACTGTTTTATTAATTGCTTTTATTCTTCTGTTCAGTGTTTACAGGCATTGGAGTTTTTACATGCTAATCAAGTGATCCACAGAGACATCAAAAGTGACAATGTGCTTTTGGGGATGGAAGGATCAGTTAAACTTAGTGAGTAACAAATGAACAAATAACATTTATTTGTTATTTATTATTTTTTGCCTTTTATTTAAATAAAAACCTCTTACGCTATTGTTATGACTTAATAGATGGAGAGGGAGGGAGAATAGTGGTAAAGAATATGGACTCTCAACAGGACAGCCTGTGTTTAAATAGCAGAGCTGCTATACTTGCTGAATAATTTTAGGTGAGTTACTTAATCTCTTTATGTTTTTCTTATTTATATAATATGGAAAATAATATCTATCTCAAAGAATTCTTCTGGAGATTAAAACACTAAGGAACAGTACCTAGGACTATCATAATGTTGGTGCTATCTTCTAAAGATGAACTTGAATTTGTTTCTGCTATCTTTTTTTTTTTTTAATTTAAGAGGAAGAGAGGGAAAGGGAGATAGAACATCAATGATGAGAGAGAATCATTGATTGGCTGTCTCCTGTACGCCCCCTACTGGTAACCCAGCCTTCAACTCAGGCATGTGCCCTAACGGGGATCCAACTGTGACCTCCTGGCTCATAGGTTGATGCTCAACTTCTAAGCCACATCGGCTGGGCTCTGCTATCTTTTAGGTAATGCTGTTCCACTTTCATTGGATTTGGAAACGTGGCCTAATCATTTGAAGGCCTATGTGACTCTGACCTTGGAAATGATAAGGGAAAAAAACTCTTATAACCCTCTTTTCATATGTATCTTCTGTATCAGGCATGGTAGAGTCATGGGGGGCGGGGGCGGAAATCATAGGTTCTTTTTCCTCTGCTAGTTATAATGTCTCACCGCCAACCATGCCCTCTGTAGGATTTAAGAACTTCTTTTTTCTTTTTTTTAATAAAAAGGAACTTCTACTGAGGTTTCTCCAACTATGCAAAACTCAAGGCATTTCTTGGATCAAGAAACCAAAAACTTTTTCTTCTGTTCTGCTCGAGTTTCGCTGCTTTTTCAGCATCTCCTTAAGATACATCCTTTAAAAATTATTCAACCACAAGAAAAGGGGTCTAGGTTCTATCAGATGGTCAAAATATAAAATTACTAACCTTCATCTTAGTGGGCAAGTTAAAAATTGTCAGTTTCATACATTTTTAGTGAATACATATGTAAACTGAATTGGACTTTTTCAGATAATACTTAATCCTAGCTCTTCTGCTTACTAGATGAATAATCTTGGGTAAATTATCTAAAAATATATGTGTCTGTTTTCCCATTTGTAAAATGAGAATAATAGTAATGTACCTGTCTAATAGAGATATCATGAGGATTAGATATGTTAATTCTTATAAGGTATTGGGAACAACGTCTGTTTTTTTATAAGCTCTTATTTTAGCTATGGATAGTATGATTTCACCTAACAATTGTTCTTTCAGGATTCACTCCTATAGAATTACTAAACATATGCACAGTTACAAAGATGTTCTCTGCAGCATTGTAAGAAAAACCAAAATATGTTAAATGTCTAGCGGTACAGGAATGGTTAAATGTTACGATTTTTTTATATTCTTTTGTTTTTGTATATTTTTTAGTATTGTATAGTTATAATAATGAGGTAGTTCAATGTATTAATATGGAAAGATCTCTAAAAGTTGTTTTTTTAAAAGTTTACAAAATATCTTAATTAGAATGAATCAAGTGGTTCATAGATATTATTTGTATGTATGTAAATGCATAACAAAAAGTCTAAAGTTTACATTTATATTCAACTATAGTAATATTTTAAAAATTAAATAAAGAATAAACAAATATAAAAGCTCTGCAAATAATTTTTTAGAGGAGGAAAAAAGTAAAGATTGCAAACATAAACATTAACAGTAGTTACATATGGAACAGAATGGGAGAGAGGAAAAAATTCTAGGTTCTCATCCTGACTTTGCCACTAAACAAGGCATTCTGCTCTTCAGTTATTATAAAACTAGAGGGCCAGTGCACAAAATTCGTGTACTGGGGAGGGGGGTTCCCTCAGCCCGTCCTGCGCCCTCTCACAGTTCCGGACCCTCGCTCCTTACTGCTCACCTGCTCACTGCTCCTTACCACTCAGCTAGCTGCTCCTTAGCACTGCCTTGGAGGCAGGAGAGGCTCCCATCATGGCCGCTGTGCTCACCAGCCATGAGCCCAGCTTCTGGCTGAGTGGCGCTCCCCCATGGGAGCGCACTGATCACCAGGGGGCAGCTCCTGCGTTGTGCATCTGCCCCCTGGTGGTCAGTACACATCATAGTGACCGGTTGTTCTGGTCGTTCCACTGTAATGGTCACTGTAGAGGTCCAGTGCATGAAATTTGTGCACGGAGGTGGGGGTGTTCCCTCAGCCTGGCCTGCACCCTCTCCAATCCAGGACCCCTTGAGGGATGTCCAACTTCTGGTTTAGGCCCAACCCCGCAGCAATCTGGACTGCTGGCTCCTAACCACTCATCTGCCTACCTGATAGCCCCTAACCACTCTGCATGCCTGCCTGATGCCCCTAACTGCTCCCCTGCCAGCCTGATGGCCCCTAACTGCTCTCTCCTGCTGGCCTGATCCCCCTAACTGCTCTCCCCTGCCGGCCTGATCCTCCTAACTGCTTTCCCCTGCCAGCCTGGTCACCGTAACTACTCTCCCTTGCCAGCCTGATGGCCCCTAACTCCTCTCCCCTGCCGGCCTGCTCCCCCTAACTGCTCTCCCCTGCCAGCCTGATCACCCCTAACCGCCTCTGCCTCAGCCCCGCCACCATGGCTTTGTCCAGAAGACATCTGGTCTACCCGGTCTAATTAGCATATTACCCTTTTATTAATATAGATAAGGAGGTGGGAGTATTGCTGGTGAGCACATTGTAGGTACAGTTATAATTAAACATGCTCTTTTTCTAGATCTGCTATCAGCTGTGTAGTTAATAGCTTCTGTTTGTTTTCATCAAAAGTAGTTACCATTTCCTGACCTTTGCCTATTTGGTAACTTTTTCTTCTTGACCTTTTTCAACTTTATTAAAATCTTTAGGGCAGAATTAATGTTTTCACTGAATTTATTGGAGTGACATTGCTAAATAAAATTATATAGGTTTCAGGGGTACAATTCTATAATACATCATCTGTACATTGTATTGTTTGTTACCATCCCAAGTCAAGTCTCTTTCCATCACCATTTATTCCCCCCCCCCTTATTCTCTTCTACCTGTCCCCACCCCCCTTTTTCTCTGGTTAGAATTAATTATTTAGAATAAAAGACCTCCTTGCCCTAACCGGTTTGGCTCAGTGGATGGAGCGTCAGCCTGCGGACTGAAGGGTCCCAGGTTCGATTCCGGTCAAGGGCATGTACCTTGGTTGCAGGCACATCCCCAGTAGGAGGTGTGCAGGAGGCAGCTGATCGATGTTTCTCTCTAACTCTCTATCCTCTCCCTTCCTCTCTGTAAAAAATCAATAAAATATATGTTTAAAAAAAAAAAGAATAAAAGACCTCCTGATAATTTGTCCTCTGCTTGTGGGAAGTTAAAGTGAAAAAGTGAGAGTATGTAACATCATCAAAATATTTGTAAACCCATCCTAGTGGCTTTATTAATACAGTCTTAAAAAACAAGTGGGTGAGTAGTCAAATGTAATTAATTAAGTTATCTGCCCTGGCCGGTTCAATTCCCAGTTAAGGACATGTGCCTGGGTTACGGGCCCGGTCCCTGGTAGGGGACATGCAGGAAGCAGCCAGTCGATGCTATGCTTTCACATCAATCCTCTTCCTCTCCCTCTCTTAGGTCATCTAAAGTGAATCTTTAGAAAAAACCATCCGTGGACACCATTAACTTTAGATGTTTTGTTTTGTTTTATAGCTGACTTTGGTTTCTGTGCCCAGATCACCCCTGAGCAGAGCAAGCGAAGTACCATGGTTGGCACACCATACTGGATGGCACCGGAGGTGGTTACACGGAAAGCTTATGGCCCTAAGGTGGACATATGGTCTCTGGGTATCATGGCTATTGAAATGGTAGAAGGAGAGCCTCCATACCTCAATGAAAATCCCTTAAGGGTAAGAAAAACACCAGCCTTATTTTAAGAAAAATACTTTTATTTAAAACATTTAGGTAGTACCTGCTTGTTCCAGGCAGGTAGATGGCCAAGAATTTAGGATGCAAAGTTGATATAACCTAGTTGTTTCCTTCACTCGGCATCTAAAAAATCATTTGCTCTTCTGGGTTGAGTTGAATGTGTTAGGTAAAGAGTTTGTAGATTTTTAGTAAGTTGAATGCTTTAATTTTGTGTATAAGTAAGAATTTCCTCACTTTTCTACAGAGTTAAGAGTCCCTAGACATACCCTTCAGGTTATCAACTTTGAACCTTGGCCTCTGGTACCCCTAGGTACAGAGAAGAGGAAAGCAAGATCACATCTGTGAGAAAGCTGTGTAGATGGCAATGTTAAAGCCTGTATTCAAACAAAAGAGTGAGGGCCCTGAGATACAGATGAGGTCAGTAGACTTTAAACAAATATTCAGCAGCTGAGGGTGGAGACTTTTGGGGTTCCTTCCTACCTCCCTCCCTCCCTCCCTGCCTGCCTGCCTTTCTTTATTTTTTTTCTTCTACTTCTACTTTTAAATCACCATGTATGGCTCAATATCATAGCACTTCACACCTACAAGAATGACTATAATAAAAAAAGTTGAAGAATAGTAAGTGTTGGTGAGAATGTGGAGAAATTGGAACCCTTATACTTTGCTAGTGGAAAGGTAAATAGTGCATGTAGCTCTTTGAAAAAGTTCCTCTAAAAGTTAACATTGAGTAACATATAACCCAGCAATTCTAGTGCTGTGTATATTCCCAAGAGAATTAAAAGCTTAAATCCACTCAAAAACTTGTACACAAATGTTGATAGCAGCATTCTTATGAGCCAAAAGGTAGAAACAGCACAAATGTCTATCACCTGATGAATGAATAAATAAAAATTGTATATGCATATAATGGAATATATTTTAGTCATAATAAAGGAATGAAATATAGATACATAAACATTGAACCTTGAAAGCATTATGCTACATGAAAGAAGTCGAACACAAAGATCATATATTGTATGATTCCATTTACATTCGATTCTTATTCATGGTGGTTAGATTCTACAAGCCACAAACACCGAATAATGAAAGTGAAACCATTGCTTCTAGGGAAAATACAGGGTTAGGTTCCTAAAGCCTCAGGTCACAACATTTTGATATACAGATAATCAACTGATTGATATACAGCCTTGCCTTTATGTGTGTTTCTGTTTAAAGACACTCTATTTAACAATTGTTGATTGAATAACATTGAACTCATGGCCAACAGCACTACAACTCATGCCTGAATGAAGATTATCAAAGATGTATATTCTCCACAAGGCACATCACAGCCTTCTTGCACTTAGGTACACTAGACAGCTCTTCAGCACTGTGCTTCTCACCTCTGCACATATCCATTAATGATCACAGAAGCACTGAGTATTGATTTTGGAGTTGCAAATAAACTTTAGTGAGTAAGTGAATTTGCATGTGTGGAATCTGCACATAATGAGGATTGACTGCATACATTTTATAGATTTCTGTAGAGACAAGAAATTAGTGGTTTCTGGGGGCTGAGGAAAGGAGGGGAGAAACCTTTGCAGAGACAAGGGTTGAGGTTTGTGAAAAATCTCCATTGAGCATTCAACAGAGATTGGCACACCTGTATGAGTACTCTGCCCAGGACCGGGGATATAGCCATCTGCTAAGATTGGAGAGGATGGTGCCCAATGCTCTCATAGGGCTGGGAATAGTGCCTGCTTCTGTCAGCAATAGTAAACCTTGTAAGAGTAAACCTTATATTTCACAGGATGTTCAGTAGAGGACTCAACAGTCTTGCCTCAGTGATAGGAAATAATTACCCTAGACCCATGGTGGGCAAACTGCGGCTCGCGAGCCACATGCCACTCTTTGGCCCCTTGAGTGTGGCTTTTCCTAAGCCTTAGGAGTACCCTAATTAAGTTAATAACAATGTACCTACCTATATAGTTTAAGTTTAAAAAATTTGGCTCTCAAAAGAAATTTCAATCGTTGTACTGTTGATATTTGGCTCTGTTGACTAATGAGTTTACCGACCACGGCCCTAGACTATATGCTGCTGTAGTCTAACAAATTTTATTCTAAAACAAGACCCAAAAGGATCTGTTCCAAAGTAACTGTGTCCCAGGACAAAGCTCAAGAATATTTATGAGTCCAGATATATCTGGCACCCAAATACCCAGTCCAAGTTTACCAGACAGGCAAAAGAGCAGGAAAATTATAACCCATATGAGGAGAAAAACTGACCCAGAACTGAGACAGACAAAAGAATTGGCACAAAAGGACATTAAAACAATCTTTATAACTGCATTCCAGATGTTAAGTAGAGACATTTGGAAGGTACTTTTTAAATTTATTGATTTTTTTTTTTGAGAGAGAGCAATTTGTTGTCCACTTATTTATGCATTCTTTGGTTGATTCTTGTATGTGCTCTGACTGGGGATCAAACTTTGGCCCATTGGGACAGTGCTCCACTGAGTTACCCAGCCTGGACTTGGAAGTACATTTTTTTTAAAATTTAAACTTACAGATACAAACTACAGTGTTTGAGAGTGGATCAATGGCAGATTATACATTGTAGGGAAGTGATTGATAGTAATAGAAACTATCCAAGGGAAACATAGGGATAGAAATGAATTTATTTATTTATTTATTTATTTTGGAAGAAATCCTAATTGTTTTATTGCTTAAAGTATTACAAAGAGTATTACATATGTCTCCTTTTTTTCCTGCCCTTGACAACCCCCTGGCCTCCCCTACCCCCCAGTGTCTTAAGTCCATTGGCTATACTTATATGCATGCATACAGTCCTTTGGTTGGTCTCTTACCCCTCCCCTTCCTGCCCCTCAACCCTCCCCAGCCTTCCCGCTGCAGTTTGACAGTCTGTTCGAGGCTGCTCTGCCTCTGTATCTATTTTTGTTCATAAGTTATTAATGGTCTTTATTATCCATAAATGAGTGAGACCATGTGGTATTTTTCTTTCACTGACTGGTTTATTTCACTTAGCATAATGCTCTCCAGTTCCATCCATGGTGTTGCAAATGGTAAGAATTCCTTCTTTTTATAG